TGCCTTGCACTCCCCAATTTTGAGACAGGTTCTCACTGTCTATAGCCCAGGATGGCTGTGAACTCACAGCTGTTCTCCCTCCTGACACTGGGATTGTGGGTTGTGGGCCTCTACATCTGGCTTGTGGTTGTTTTTTCTTTTTCTTTTCTTTTTTTGTCTATGTCATCTCAGTGAAATAGAATTAGAATCGGCCTAGCTTTTCTCAAAGTGACAAGATAGTTGCTTCAGTTGCAAACTTGGTAAGAACTCTGAATCACATCCTGAGAATTCATGGGGAGGGTTGTTTATTCTCTGCATCTCTGTCAACAAGAAAAACCTTTCCCAGGGCCAGTCAACAACTTCCCAACTTCATCTTGGATCATGTTCATGGATAAGGAAAACTGGCAAAGCCCAGTCATTTGTTCCCACTCCATGAGTATATAGCCTTGCAAGGGAGGAAAGAATCTTAAACAATGTTGAGTCCTTTAGAGAGCTGGAGAGATGCCTTAGAGGTGAAGAGCATTGCCTATTCTCCCAAAGGTCCTGAGTTCAATTCCCAGCAATCACATGGTGGCTCACAACCATCTGTAATAAGATCTGGTGCCCTCTTCTGGCCTGCAGGCACATATGCAGACAGACTATGGTATAAATAATAAATAAAAGTAAATCTCTTAAGGGGTCCTTTAGAACAGAGGTTGTCAACTTATGCGTTGCAACTCCGATAGGGTTGCATATTAGATATTTACATCACAGTTCATAGCACTAGCAAAATTACAGTTATGAAGTAGTAATGAAAATAATGTTATGGTTGGGGTCACCACAACATGAGGAGCTGTATTAGAGAGTTACAGCATTAGGAAGGTTGAGAACCACTGCTCTAGAAGGTGGGAAGAAGGGCAGCTCTAAATTATTAGTACATAAAAATAAATTGCCTGCTTCTCCACATGAATTCTCAAGCATCTGAGATTATTACAGGGATTGTATTTCCAGAGCTAGCTTCAGCTGGGTGACATATATACTCCTCCCAGAGTCTGTTCTAGGCTACAGATGTCTTTCTCACTGTAATATTGTGAAATATTATGTAGTTAGTAGTGTCTTGTAATCACCGTCAGTGAGGAAATAGAGCTAAAGGTCAGGTGTATGGGTGCAGTTTGGAGAATCTGTAAGGCTTTCTTTTCAGGACCAGTTCCATGAGGAGCCACAAGATGGGAGTGGTGTTTCACAGATGGAGCTGAGGTTTGTTTTGTAACATAATATATTCTAGTTGGACGTTGTGGCTCATACTTGTAATCCTAGTAGTTGGGGAACTGAAGCAGGAGGATTACCTCAGATTGAGGGCAGACTGAGCTATACTTTGTGTGGTGTGCCGACAGCTTCAATGTGTATGTGTTTTTTTGTGAAAAGTAGGAACATTTCATAATGTTTAGGTCTAGCCTTGTATTCTGAATACTGGAGAAAGAGATGTTATCTGGATGCTTAAAAATACAGTTTTCTTTGATGGAAGATTTTTAAAATTTAAATCTCTTGCTTCAGATATATTTAGCATTGTTTATAGTAAAGCACATCTTTTTGAGACCTCCTATTTCCCCAAGAATTCTTGTGATCTGTCCTGCAAACTTACTCGGATTTCTTTAACAGTGAGTATTTGTGACAACTTTTAAAGTTCTTGTTCAGGGTGTGTTTATATGATCTCATGAGACCTGAGTTGGCCAGTTTGGTGGCAAGTCAGTGTTTGACTTGAGCAATATTCCTACTCCTGTTTAGGTTGCAGAGTCCTTACATAGCTATGCTATTTATTGCAGTTTGGTGAGAACCTACCCTCCAGTGAGGATGTCTACATTTTGTTGTTTTAAATAAAATGATGCTGGGCTATATAGTGTTATTTATTATTTGCCCTATAATTATTGTGGCAGTGTTATTTAACCTGCTATCACAACTAAATAAAACACAGACCTCTGTTAGATTTTATAATTGCCTTTAAACACCTTAGGCTGGGCAGATAATTCCATCTACGCTTTCTCAATTACCTCACCATCCATTTCCCAGCCTCCATCCAATGCCATCTGCCTTAACCATCCTTATCTGGGCTACCTTCCATCGTAATCTTATAAATATTTGCCTGAATTCTTTATCTGGGCTTTTCCACACCATTATTAGAGTCCTTCCTCCTAGCCCACGTAGTTTCTTTTCCATGCTAACTCATTGTGGCGTCCTCCTTCTTCCTCTCTTCTTGTCCCTCTATTTCTAGTGATTCTTCTGTCCACAAAAGCCTGGGAACCTTAGCCATGCCTGCCCCATTCTGCGCTGCCCAGGTATAGGACGTTTAATCAACCAATCAGTAATAACGTCTTAGGCAGGTTTACACACAAGGATAGATGTATCCAGGCAGTAACCAGATCTTGAGGGCCAGTAATTAGCATCAATATACAAGTATCAGACCAACCCCCAACAACATTTGCTTTATTTAAAAAAGCAGCAGCTCCTGAGCGGTTTTTACAGCAATTTCCTGATTTACCTCAGGTTTAAGTCCCAAACCTAGTGGCTGTGCATGAGCTAGGTGCTAGAGTGCATGCTCTCTGTGTACAAGTCTCCAGGAACATTGCTAACCTAGATATGGCACTTAGACCGTAGTTTAAAATTTAAGGTGAAACGTTTTTATATTGAACCTACGATAAACACAAATTTTCTTGATTCTTTTTTAATTTTTAAAATGATGCTTGCTTATGTGTATTATGTATGATGTGGCAATTTTGTCCACGTGGAAGTCAGAGAAATTAACCTAGAAGTCTACTTAAGGTACTTGATTCTTCCATCATCTTATCTTTTCTTTGAACCTATGCACAGACTTTTCTTTTGTGTTCTTTCACCTAAAGAGTACAATATACACACAAAGTAAATTCTTTAAAAAGAGCAAACCACACACTTGAGACTGAAGACTTGGAGGAGTGGAGCTGGAACTGACCTCAAGCCTCTTCTCTAAAGACTAGCTTTCATTAGTGGCAGAAAAAGCTGCCCAAGGAGAAAGCCGGATAGACACCTACAAGTCTTAACAGTGACCACAATGGCAAGGTATCCCGAAAGGTGCAGTAGTGGCACCAGCAGCCATCTAATTGGACTTGGGGCCCTCTTATTAGGGGGGAATTCATGCTTGTTGCTGTAAATCCACCAACACCTGTGGCTGTAAGGCCGTGGACCCTGGAGCCCCACAGGTGCTTCCCTAAAGTAGTACAGTTCTAACTGCATTCTCAGTATTTATCCTCATACCCATAGATAATTGTAGCTCTTACCTACTCATACCTCATCAATGAACTTTCTTCCTGCAGCAGACAGAGGCCATTATAGAAAACCATAACTGGTCAAAATGCAGAGAGCAGACCTTGGTGTCCCTGACCCCAGTTGGTAAACTTGTACAATACAGACTGAAGGTTTGGGAAGCATTACAGAAGGGACAGTCAGGATGTTTGTTGTGATAGAGTGTATTTCATATATTATACACTGGGACACTATTCAGCCTTGTTTGTTTGTTTGTTTGTTTGTTTGTTTGTTTGTTTGTTTGAGACAGAGTTTCTCTGTGTAACAGCCCTGGCTATCCTGGGATTCATTCTGTCTCACTTTCTAGACCAGGCTGGCCTGCAACTCAAAAAGATCTGCCTGTCTCTGCCTCCTGAATGCTGGGATTAAAGGTTTGTGCCACCACGCCTGGCCTGTTCAGTTTTAAAAACAAATGATGTTATTTTCAAGGACATCAATTGAATTGGCAAATGTTGTTTCATTAAATAAGTAGGCACAAAATGAAAAATAACACGTTGTCACTTACATATAGAAGTTTAAAAAGTTGATCTTAAAGTGAAAAATTGTGGCTACGTGAACCTGGCAGAGGGTTAGTTGGCTGTGGAGAATGGAATGAGAATAGTTAATGGGCATAACGATAGAGTTGAGCAGAAAGAATAACTTAACCATCTTTCTAAAGCTCAGTAGGATAACTGTGGTTGACTATGATTATAATAGCTAGTAGAGAGGATTTGAATGTTCCCAACACAGATAAATGATATCCAATAAAGTCAATAACTGTCCTGATCATTGCATATTATAGACATGTATTAAAGTAATGCACTTACACCATGGGTATAATTACTAGGTTAGTGAAAAATATATGCATTAAGTATCTAAATGGTTTTAGCCACAAATATAAAATGAGAGACTCAAATAGATTTCAACACAATTTACTGTTAGAATTGTTGGAATTTTCTGTTGTATATGCCTATATTTATGGGTAGTTTCAGCTGGAGACTATTCTTATAATAAATCAGATTGAAAGCATACCTGGGTGTTTTTTTTTTTGGGGGGGGGTGTTTTGTGGTTTTCTTTCTTTTTCTTTATTTTTTTAATTTTTTTCCCCAGACAGTGTAGCCTTGGCTGTCCTGTATTAGCTTTGTAGACCAGGCTGTCTTCGAACTCACAGAGATCCACATGCCTCTGCCTCCCTGAATACTGGGATTATGGGCATGTACCACTGCACCTGGCGATTTTTTGTTTCATTTTGTTTTGTTTTGTTTTTAGAACTTGATAAGGAAAAGAAGGTTTGTTTTTCACGACAGGATTTTTCTGTTTAACAAGAGCCCTGCCTGTCCTGGACTCACTTTGTAGACCAGGCTAGCCTCTAACCCTCAGAGATCCGCCTGCCTCTGCCTCCCAGTGCTGGGATTAAAGGCATGCACCATCATGCCCAGCTCAGAAAATAAGTTTTTAATGTGGAAAAAAATTTCTCACTATACTGAAAATAATACTAGCTACACAAAACCTTCACGAGCTATGATACTCAGTTCTTAGTGAAGAAAAAAGTAAAAGTAATGTTTGTAAAAAGCTGCAGAGAATTGAAGGTGCTTGGCTGCTTTTTTCTTGTGCTGCGATTTTTGGAATACGTCAGTGTGAAATGCAATGGGAGTCTCAGCACAGTACATACTAGGTTGCCCTTTCCTTTCACTTAGCTTACTATGTGTTCTCCCCTTTCTTCCTGCCAGGAATGAGTAGTGACAGCGACATTGAATGTGACACTGAAAACGAGGAGCAGGAAGAGCACACCAGCATGGTTGCGTTCAACGATCCGTTCCTGGCTCAGCCCCCGGATGAAGGTGCAGCATGTAGTCATTTTACACAGGTTCATAAAAGCCTTGCTGCTGCTGCTCTGTCTGCCTCTGCTGCTGCTTCTGCTAACTCTGCTCTGCTGCTTTTACTTCTTTTTAAAAAATTACTGTCATTTGTGAGAGAACATTCTGTGGTAAAGGATATGGTAAGTACCAAAAAAGTCGTCAGGTAATGTTTGCCAGTTAGCCGCCCGAGTGCTGCTTCCCGCGTGGAAAAACCTGCAGCCTGAGCCTGGTGTTGGGTACCTTGTGGCTGAGGGTACGTCAGAACAGTTTTCAGCAGAGACAGTGGGTGGGCTTCCACACTTACGTGTGCACCCTGAGCCTGTGCTGATGTTTCGTGTGTTTGCAGGTTTTAGTCTTTGCTTTGCAGTTTCTCCTCTCCAGATTTTTTTCTATTTTCTAGCATTCTGTAACTTTTTGGGTGTTTTGTTTGTTGTTGAAAACAGAGTTTCTCTATGTTAACAGGGTTTCTCTGTTTCGTAGCTCTCCTGGACTCACTTTGTAGACCAGGCTGGCCTCGAATTCAGAGGTCCAACTGCTTCTGCCTCCTGATGGCTGGAATTAAAGGCCTATACCATGCCTGGCTGCAAACTGTAACTTTTTAAACCCTTTTATTTTTCATACATGCATACAAATCCTGGAATTCAGGGGTTTTTTTTTTTTGTTTTTTTTTGTTTTGTTTTGTTTGTTTTATATTCTCTCCAGAAAATGATTCTTAGTGGAAAAAACTAAATAAGAGGAATGTTATTATATTTCCCTTTTTTAAAAAAAAATTATTTGTGCCAGGACTGATGGTGAAATCCTAGCATTGGGAAGAAGCAGGCAGAATCTCTTGAGTTCGAAGCCAGCCTCGTCTATGGAGCTAGTTCTAATGCATCCAGGGCTACAGAGAGACCCTGTCTTTGGAAAAAAACAAAACAAAACAAAACAAAACATTGTGTGTGATTGGGGTTTTGCATGTTGGTGAGTGTATGGAAATCAAAAGACAACTTTTGGGGAGTCAGTTCTGTCCTTCCACTTTGTTTCATGGGAGTCTTCCTTATTTCTGCCCCTGTACGCTATACCTTAAGATTCTGGTGAACGACTCTCTTGACTTTGCCCTTATTTTGCCATTGGAATGTTGGAGTTACTGTTGTACCCCATCAGATCCCTTTCTTTCTTTTTCTCCCTCCCTCCCCCCATACAGGGTTTCTCTATAGCTCTGGCTGTTCTGGAACTCGCTCTGTAGACCAGGCTGGCCTTGAACTCATGGAGATACGCCTGCCTCTGTCTCCCAAGTGCTGGATCAAAGGCGTGCACCACCACGACCCAGCCCTATCAGATGCATTTCTAAGGATTTAACTGAGGTAGTCAAGTTTACACAGCTAGAGTTCTTACCCACTCAGCCATCTTGCTGGCCCTTTCTGTCTCCGTGACAGCTTAGTTTTCTGTGATGCAGATGCCTTGTGTCTTTTGCTTTGATGAGATGATCTCTACTGTACAAACAATGTAAATGGACACAATGTGAATGGAAAATGCACTGTGAGGGGCCAGACTCCTATTCCTGATTCTGGTTCTCTTCTCAGTGCAGTGACAAGTATCTGCTGTTTGGTATGTAGTGAGGACCGTAAGGAATTCCCTCTGCCTCTAAAGAAGTGTCCAGGTTTGAGGCAGTCACTTTGAGTGCTGGTAGCATGTGCAGTGATGGTTGTGCAGGCAGTCTAGCTGTGCCCATGGACTCAGGCCGTGGCTCCCTCTCTTCACTGGGAGTGCCTGCACATGTTTGCTTTGTTTTTTCTTTACTCACATACAGCTTAAATCACAGATTCTCTGAAGAGAGAATTTGTTCCTCACCTAGCACATCTTTTATCAGTCAGTAAAACATTTGATGAGCTCTCATTAAGACTGAGGCAAAGAGCACATGCCTTATGACATTTGCTTTTAAGTTTTTTTTTAAGCTGAGTTATTTGTTTTTTGTTTTTTTTTAATTATTTTTTTATGTCCATTGGTGTTTAAACTGCATGCATGAGCTCCGACATTTCCTTTTATTTAAGTTTTTTTTTCTTTCTTTCAATCTCTTTCCTAGACTCACATTCCAGTTTTCCTGATGGTGAACAAATAGACTCTGAAAATCTCCACTTCAACACTGATGAAGGCGGTGGAAGGTAAAGACTTGAAAGCTGAGCTACAAGCTACCTGGGCCCTGAAATCTGTTGGAAGTTGGTGCTCAAAATTGTCAGCACTCAGATAATCAGATATAGTCTTATTTTTTGTCATCTGTACCTGAAACTATCAGAAAGTACATAATTCTAATAGGATACAGTAGTACCTGGGAAAAGATTAAGCAGGGGGGAAAGACTCTTTCTAATGTATGTAATGAGCTAACAGTGTAGTGCTCAGTTAATTTAGCAAATTAGTCCATTAATAAAGGCAGATTGTCTCCTATAACAGAAAGCACCTCGAGGCATCGCATGTGGTTGTATCTTGTTCAGCGTCCGTACTCTTCTGTCTCTGGCTGGACACATGATTTAGATAGCCATATTTTAAGTTTTTCATTTGTTTGTAGTTTCATTAAGCTGGTATAATAGTGTACAGAAAAATTGCTTAGGAAGAGATTTGCTCAGTGGAAGCTTTGCCTGATTAAATATAGCAACTCTAGACTGAATCTTTTCCTTGAGCTGTGATGGTAGACTAAATTTTTTTTTCCTCACTTGTTAAAGTGCTGGCATCCTGGTAATGACACATTTTTTTCAGTTGTGTGACCTTTATAGGTGTCATTTAAGACAAGTTAAGACACTGTGAGTTGGTTCTATGCATGGCTATGTGGACACATGTAAGACCACTTAAAGGTTTTTCTTCTTTTCTGCTTCCTGAAACTATAGTGTAACAAATATTTTTGAACTGTATTTCCGTTAGTTGGGCATTGATTTCAGTGAATGCATGTCAAGATTTATGCATATTTTAGTCTTATATCAACATGAAACTATGCAAGGCTTTCTCTCATATTCTTAATTAGCCCAAATCTCAAATGATTGCCAGATTTTGCCATTGTGCTCCCACGTTTATGTTTGAGCTGTTAAGTTTGTGAAAGTTATACTTAAAGTTGACCAAGAGACTATTGAAAAGGTATGGATGTAAATACATGAGAGCACTGTTGCCTGCTTGTTGTACGTAGTGATTCTTGTCTTTTTTCATTGTCTGATAGCTTGCTGAATGCTGTGACTCATAGCTTACTTTTTTTTTAACAGCTTGCACTTTTTGTTAATAAAATTAACTTGAGAAAATGTGCCTCTGCAGTTTATTGAAAGTGGGACCAAAAGGCTGGTTGTTTTTAACTATTGCTGTGGCTGTTCAGCAGTTAAGACAAGGGCATTTTGTTAAGAGAAGAGTAAGGCTCCTATTCTAGTCCTTTCTTTTAAAAACCAAACGATTTCTTCATAAATGATAGAGGTAGAATATATAAAAAGAATAATTCTTACTCCAGTCCCCAGCCAGCCTGGATACCAAAGTATCCAAGTAGGTGGTGTTTTGCTTTGGTATTTTGATACTTCTGGGAAAGGAGCCCAAAGTAGCATGTTTGGCAAGCACGTCACCCCTGAGCTGAAGCTGACAGGCATACCCATGTTTCATTTACGGCAAGGCTGTCTGCTTATGCGCACCTTGGCTGTGCCTGAAAGCGGGTAGAGAGAAAAGGGCAGAGGCATGACAGTAGAATCCTTGTTCTGCTTGCCTAGTCCTCTCACACTTTGTCCCTAACAATCAACCTGCCATCCCTCTCTTTAAAATTAAAGAACATAGTTTTTATTAGCTTTTCTGTTGTGCTTTTTTCAACATAAGATGTGTTTGTTTTGTGTCCGTGTGTGCACATGTGTGTGCAGGTACACATGTGTAGAGGTCAGAGGGCGACCTTAGTTGTCATTCCTTAGGAGCCATCCACTTTCATTTTACTTGAAAACTTCCTTAAAAACCTACTTATTTATCTTAAGGATTTTAAATTTTCATTAATGTGTTTGTGCTTTAGGATGTCTGAGGCCAGGAGAGGCTTTAGAGCCTTTGGAACTGGAGTTGCAGGCTCTTGTAAGTGGCCTGATGTGCACACAGGTGCAGGGAAACCCACCATCCAGCCATCTCTCTAGCCCAGACCTTATGTTCTTGTTCTCGTTCTCTCTCTCTCTCCTTCTCTCTCTTTCTCTCACTCTCTTTCTCTTGTTTGTTTGTTTGTCTCACTATATACCCCTGGCTGGCCTAGCCCCCACTATGTAGACAAGGCTGCCTCTGCCTTAGCATCGTAAGTGCTGGATTAAAGGCATGTGTGAGCATTTTGTTTTTGAACAATTTTGACAGCCTGGTTCATTGAGTCCTTCAGTAGTCTTTGAGATAGACAAGTTGTGTATTGTCCCCACTTGGCGAATTTGGGGAGATTGTGTGATGCTCTAAGGTTGGACACAGGCTTTCTGTCAGTTTATCATGCTTAATCAAACAAATAAAAAGCTTAAAGAGTGTCCTGTTTTGTTTTGAGATAATTTTAGATTTCTAAGAGTTAAGAAAATTGTGAGAACTCCCACCTAGCCTTGGCCTCATTAGTGGCATATGTAACTATGCCACAGCAATGATTGTGTAATGAATCTTTTTTGCAGTACTTTTTTGTTTTTTCTTTTTTTTAAAGACATTGTGTCATGTCCAGGCTTGTAGATGACATGGATGACCTTAAATTTATTTTATTTTATGTGCATTATGTGTGTTTTGCCTGCATGTGTCTGTGTAAGGGAGCTGGGTCCCCTGGAACTGGAGTTACAGACAGTTGTGAGCTGCCATGTGGGTGCTGGGAATTGAACCTGGGTCTTCTGGAAAAGCAAGCAGTGCTCTTAACCATGTGAGCCATCTCTCCAGCCCTGACCTTGAATTTCTGATTCTTTTGATCTTGAAGCCTTCAACTTGAATGCTAGGGTTAGAGGCCTGTGCCACACATGCCTTACAAGAGCTGGGGTTTGAACCAGGGCTTTGTGTGTGCTGCCAACTGAGCCATACCCTCAGCACCAAATTTGGCATACTCTTTGTAATTTGTTTGCTTTTGAGATAAGAGTCTCATTGGGTAGCTGTGTCTGGTTTAAAATTCCTTGTGTAGGCAAGGCTGACCTCAAAGTCATAGGGTAACACCAAGTTCATAGAGGTCTGCCTGAACTACCTCATTCTGGGATTAAAAGAGTGTTACCATGCCTGGCTCTAATCTGTCCCATTATTAGATTTTTGTATTTTAATCAAGGATGCTCCAAGGTCATCTTGTATTTTTTTTCTACCATAGTGAGACTGTGTATCTCTATCTGGCCTTAAATTTACTGTTTATACAAGGTTGGCCTTGAATTCATTGAGATACACCTGCTTCTGCCTGCCTGCTTCTTTTGGGATTAAAGGAGTATACCACCATGCTTATCTCTGACTCAACTTTTTGAGGAACTTGTGTCTGAAAATCACGTTAGAAACTAAAATGTGAGTGGTGGTGTGTGCTTAGCTGCTGTAGTGTCGGCACTCCTCCCCACCAGCGGGTAAGTGTGCATGTAAGCCTTATGTTAGACCATCTTTACATAGCCCAAACTGTTTTAAAAAGTGGAATCCAAGAGCCTCAGCTTTCTGAGAACTACGATTATGGGCATGTACCTCCTCCCCAAGCTAAATGTGTTTTGTTTGTCAGTTTGTTTTTTTGTTTTTGTTTTGTTGTTGATGATGGTTTGTTTTGTTTGTCGGTTTGTTTTGTTGTTGTTGTTGATCATGATGGTTTGTTTTGTTTGTTGGTTTGTTTCTAGAGAGGAATGTAGGTCCAGCCCCACTGGGCTCATTGTAGGCTTTGCTAACTTGAACACACTAATTTTTTTCTTTTCTTTTTTTCAAGACAGGGTTTCTCTAAATAGCTCTGGCTGTCCTGGAACTATCTCTGTAGACCAGGCTGGCTGGAACTCAGATCCTCCTGCCTCTTGAGTGCTAGGATTAAAGGTCCGTTTTTCTTTTCTTTTCTTTTTAGCACTAAGTAATTATTGCTGACCTATATCCCTGTGAGAAGAAAACTGCCATGAGTATCACTTGTGTGTTTGTTTTTGAGATGGAGTTTTACATACTGCCCTGGCTATTCAAATGCCTATGCTCAGGTGACCCTCCTTCCCCAGCTTCCTAAGCAGCTGGATGCATGCCCCTGTACCCAGCCAGTGTACAGTCTATAGTCTTTGAACAGCATGTCACAATACTTTCTCAGTTAACTTAGGCTCTAAGCTTCCAGACTCCCTTAGCTCCTTTCTTTCCTGTCCTCTCGTATTGTGCCTCTGTGATTCACTGCTAATGCAGTTAGATTAATCGTTACAGTCTGCATTCTCTACTCCCACATACGTTCTGGCTATTTTTTAATTTACATACATTAAAATGTAGTCCTCTGGCATATAGTTCTCAGGCTTTGGCAAATGTGTAGCCACCACAGCGCTGCAGAGAGTGTCTCAGTCTTGCTGAGAATTCCCTGTGGCGGCCTGCTGTCAGTAAGCGCTCCACCCAGAGTTCCGGCTGCCACTCTTCCCTTTCCAGATCACCGTTTAAATAGACTTACATGGCGTTTGGTCATGTCGTAAGCACAGTTATGTTTATGCATCTTGTGTGACTCAGTACTCAGCTTGTTGTGTTTTACCAGGTATTCCACTAGTAGTTCCACTGTAATTCAGTTATGTGCTTAAAGAATTTGGGTGGTTTCCAGTTAGAATGTGACTTATGTGAGCAATCTTCATTCTGAAGGGGATTCTGTGTGTGAGTAGGGAATGAATTCACATGTGTATGTATAAGTTTAAGTCTAGATTCCACATATGGAAGAAAACATATTTGTCTTTTCTAGTTTGGTCCATCTCATTGTTCCGCAATTCTATCCACCTTCCTGCTAATGTCATTGCTTCATTCTTCAGAGTTCAATAAAATTCCATGTATTGATGCTATATATATTTTTTTACATGTTCACTTCTTGATGGCTCTAGGTTGTGTCCGTCTCCTGGCTACTGTGAATAGTGGTGGATGGGAGAAGGGGGTGTATTTGCACATCTCTCAGTGGTAGGGCATAGTCCTTTGTATAATCAGCAGCGGTATAGCTGGCCATGTGGTAGCTCTATTTTTAAGTTTTTGTGGGACCTCCATGCCAGTT